AGCAGTTAGCATAATGGCTATGTCGCTGGACTCCCACGTAGTCGACCGTGGTTCGCATCCCGGACCCGGTGGCTTAGAACTCACGCCGGGCGCGTGTGCGTACGTGCCCAAGATCCCAAGAGGAGAATGGAGGAGAGGGATTGCGGCGTGACCATCCCCCCTGGGGGGTGATTTCTCGCGTTCTGTCTCTATGTCTCTCTCTGTCTGTCTGGCGAGCGCACGCGCCCTATAGCGAAAAAATAACTCTCAGAAAAAAAAAAGAAAATACAGGCCGAGAGCATGTGTGTGTGGCCGAGATCCCAGGAGGAGAACTGAGGAGAAAGGATTGTGGTGTGGCCATCCTTCTTAGGGGTGTTTTCTCTCCCTGTCCCTCTTCCTCTCTCTCTCTGGGAGCACGTACGCCCTGCAGAAATTATTATTTTTGCACTGACAAATACATCATGACTTTTCCAATGACCCAATTAACCAAACAAACAAACAAAAACTTAAAAGACAAGGGCCAGCAGGTGGCATGGTGGTTAAGGCACTGGACTCCCATGTGGCTGACCGCTGTTCGTGTCTTTAACCTGGTCGCTTCCTTTCTCACTTTCTGTTTCTGTCTCTCTCTGGTTAAATTAAAATAAAATAAATCTTTAAAAAGAAATAATATCAAAATAAAAACTTAAGGGGCTGGCAGGTGGTGTGGTGGTTAAGGACGCTGGACTCTCACATAGCCAAGTCTCGGGCCTGGTGGCTTGCTTTTTCCATTTCTCTATCTCTGTCTCTCTCTAATCAAATTAAAATAATGACAAATTAAAAAAAAAAAAGAACTTTAAAAAGGAAAAAAAAAAAACAACAACATAAAAAGCCAGTATTTTTTTTTTTCTTTCTTTTTTTAAATGCTAGAGAGCATGTACTCTTGCCAGAGAGAAAAACAGAGTAGGAGAAAGCCTCTCGCATGGCCACACCACAATCCTTTCTCCCTTCCTCCACCCTGTTAGGATTTTGGGCATCCACTATGACTTCCAAGCCATCAGGGCTGGACTCAGACTACACAGCTGGCCACGTGGGAATCCAGTTCCCTCTACCGTTAGGCCATAGGCCTGACCCCTCAATAGCCATGTGTGTGTGTGAGCCCTCCCCATAACCACCATCACCCCACGAGTCCGCTGGTGGTCTCGGCTGTGGGTGAGGCACACCAGTCCCTAGAGGCGCCAGCTCCCCACCAGGCCGGCACGTCCCCAATGCTCATTTTCTGACACCTGCGGAGGGGCTCAGAGCTGGGAAGGGATGCAGGTGGGGCTGGAACCTGCTGTGTGGCCAGGTGAGTCACGCACACACCCTGCACCTCCTCTTGGGTGGGTCCGGTAGGGTGGGCCTCGCTCAGACAGCCAGCTGGCCTGGCCCTAAATGCCCAGGAGGCCAGTGCTGCGCGGGATGGCACGGCCGTGGGAGGCCGCAGGACTCACCTGCAGGCGTACTCCACGGTATAGATGGCTCCCTGGCTCTGCTCCTCCCAGCGCTGCATGTCGGCCTGTGGGGGTCGGTGGGACAGTTAGCAAGGGAGGCTCCTACCGGGCGGGACGCAGCTCCTCCAGGACGTCTTGGTAGGGGCTCCTGAGCCCTAAGCATGGCTGCGGAGACCTCTCCTCCTGCAATTTCCCCCTCACCAGTCTGAGCTTTCCGTGGACACCTGGCCACTGTACCTTAGGCCTTTGCATGGGCTGCTTCCTCTTCCTGGCACACCCTTCCCTAGGGCCTCCATTTTTTTATGTAGGTCTTTTTTTTTCTTTTTCTTTTATAAGAATTATTTACTTGGGGGACCAGAAGTTGGCATAATGGCTATGTCGCTGGACTCCCATTTAGTCGACCACAGTTCAAATACCGGACCCGGTGGCTTAAATTCACGCCGGGCGCGTGTGCGTGTGTGCCCAAGATCCCGAGAGGAGAATGGAGGAGAAGGGACTGTGGCGTGGCCATCCCACCCAGGGGGTGATTTCTCACTCTCTGTCTCTCTCTGTCTTTCTGGTGAGCGCATGCACCCTATAGCAAAAACCTCTAAAAAAAAAAAAGATTTAGTTAATTTTATTTATTATTATTATTTTAAAAATTTGCTACAGGGCACATGCACTCATTAGAGAGATATGAGAGAGAAG